CGTTTGAATGTATGCATGATTCACCTTCCATATATAATTATAGTAGGACTGATATGATGGGGGCACTCCAAAAAATAAAGAATACCCCTTTTTACATTACAATTGATGTCTATGTATTATGAATATACACTATATGAATAGTGTTTGTATATGGGTACTATATTCACATGTGAAGAAGTAATTTTCAACAAAGCACTGGATTGAAAATTGTAGTTTACTTAAAAGGAAAGTTTATTTGCAAACTCATTTTTTTTTTGTGAATATGAGGATCAATCTTGGTCATCCATCTTATTTGATCCAACAACTCATATTAAATAGAGTTTTTAATTAAAACTATTCATTAAGATGATTAGTGGTAAAAAAAGAAGTTAATTTTCAACTCACATCTACGTCTTTGATTTTTTAATTTTTTTTTCATTAAAACCTTTTACCCTCTTAAAGTTTAAAATAAATTATCTAAAAATTATTAATATTTTAATCAAACAAATTACATAAAAAGGGGGAATTTCATGTTCTTTGATATGACATCAATCTCGATATAGTTCTTTTTTCCGTTTTAACTGGTTTTTACATGAAATGGTATATATGTGTTATATTCATTATGAATGTTTATGTACATTCAAGTGTGTACAATAGCTTGACACCGTAAGTAGGAAACTCGACATCACCTTTCTACAAGACTTTCTTCAACGTCGCAAGGTACCGCGTTCTTCATCACTGTAACCCAACACCCATCGAGACCGAGTGAGAACCTATATCGAGACCGATCAAGAACTCATCAACACCGATCGAGAAAGGTCGAGAATTCATTCATCGACTTAGTATGTGTTTATATGTGTAAAACCGTAACCTACTACCTTTATTTTTCATCGAGAACCTATAGATTGATTTTATTACTTGTTTGTGTATGTAAAACCAGAGCCTACCACTTTTAGCTTTTATCAAGAAGGATCGGGAACCCTTTGAGACCAATAAAAACACATCAAGGTCGATCGACAACCTATTGCCCGATCGATTCCAATTGAGACCAATTACGACTAATCAAGAACCTATCTATTGATTTGGTCTGTGGTTGTGTGTTAAAATTATTAAATAACACCTTCATTTTTCATCGAGACCAGTTGATAACATATTGATTAATTTATTCTGGGTTTGTTTGTGTAAAACCATAACCTACCACTTTTAACTTTTATCGATATGGATCAGAAAATCTATCAATAGAAAATCTATCAAGATGAATCGGGAGCTCATCTAGATCAATCGAGAACCCAATAAAGAAAAAAAAAGAAAAACTAAAGTATGTAGAATTGAACCTGTAGTATATTAATGATGCATAACATGTATATGCATGATGAATATTATGGTGAAAAATTAATATTTATGATACATATCATACTAATATGAATATAGAAAGTTATTGTATATACGTGATCATGCATATATATTCATGATATATGTTATAATGAAAATGTATATTTATGACGAATGTTATACTGATGTATGAATGCTGAAAAGTTGTTGAATACACGTGAACATATTTAAATAGTCATGATGAATAGTATTTATATTAATGATGAATATAATAGTAAAAATGTATGTTCATGACAAATATCATACTGATGTATGAATGTTGAAAAGTTGTTGTATACATGTGAACATATATAAGTAGTCATGATGAATATTATGTATATTAATGATGAGTGTTATAGCGAAATTGTGTATTCATGACGAATATCATACTCATGTATGAATATTGAAAAATTGTTTTATACACATGAACATATATAAATATTTATGAAGAATAGTATGTAGCATACTGATGTATGAATACTAAAAAGTTATTGTATACACATAAATATATATATATATATGTATATATATATATATATATATATATTATTGATAAATGTTATAAATAAACTGTACATTCACGATGAATGTGTTAATAAAAAAAAGTACATTAATGATGAATGTCATAGTGATGTATGAATACTGAAGATTTATTGAATACATGTAAAAATACATAACTATTTATGATGAATGTTATACTAAGTTATATATTTATGAACACGCATAAATATTCATAATGAATATTGAACAAATATACTATTTGACATAAAAACGTTAAAAAGAAAACTATATCGAGATGAATGTTAAATCTTAGAAAATAAAATGCTCATTTTTTGATGTAATTTATTTGATTATACTATTAATTATTATCTAAATTTTAATTAAGTCCAAGATTGATACATATATTAAAAAAATGAGTTTTTATTTAAACTCACCTCTACTTGAACATATATTATAATATGAATTGATTTAATTTTTATCATCAAGATTTTCCCATTTGTTTCTTGAGAGAGTGAGAGTGAGAGTGAGAGTGATCCCTTAACAACTCAAGTACACAAATTTTGCAATATTAAATCTACTTAAAGATGTAGACATGTGCATGCATAAACCTCTTATTTTAAAAACTTTCTTTAAACGACAATAAAATTATCAAACAATTGAGTATTTAAAATGGATCAAAATATGCTGAGTTTGTTATAATTTGTATATTATGCAACCATTTTTTTTTCTCAATCATCTTAAACATAAAGTTCTTTCAACCCTTTTCTTTTAGACTAATAGTCTGCTAAACTTGTAATATTTGATGATGTAGATACCAAGTTGTTAAAGTATATAAATTGAAAAACATATAATAGTAGATTAGGATGTTACCGATTAAAAACATATTGATTGACCACTTGACCAAGTCATTAAAAATTACGATAAACTAATTGTGAGCTCGTACAATGCATCGAAATTTAAAACTGTATTCGGTGAATTGAAAATGCAAAAATTAATAAAATTCCTTACATAAAATATCTTAAATTTATGTAATAATATTATGTTGTACTAATAGAATTTTATGTTTCTCTTATATTGAACTTGAATTGATTTTATTCATTTTAAACGTGGAGCTTAGAAAAATGTATGTATGTATATTATTTGTAAATGTATGTTTTAAGAAACAATTCATTATAGTACCTAATGGTGATAGGTATTTTAAGAGTTTTTTTTAACTGATTTATAATATACTACTAAATGGGTATTTGTGAAATGTAGTGAAAATATATATATATATCTTGATTTTAATGTTCAGTTTTATTTTTTGTTTCTATTGATGTTATAATGCAGTTTTGAGGAAGCGACAATGTTTTTATTTTTGAACAAAATATAAATTTAAAAAAAATCGATATTAGTATCAAATTAACCATTTAAAAGTTCTCATTTTGTATAATTTTGTTGATTCAAAATATTTTATTATAATTTAATTTAGTTTTAGTAACGAATTAATTTATTTTTGTTTTAAAAAAATAATTTTTTTTATAAAGATAATAATTAAATATTATGTTAAAATTCAACGATTATCCTAAATACATTTTAGATTTCTTATATTTAAAATAAGATTTATACCATGTGTTTGATTAAGTTTAACTACCGTTAGTTACACGAATTCAATCATGGAGCTAAGTCGTAATTACGTACAATTTATTTAAATTTTAAATAATATACATCAATAAACAATACTTAATATATAAAACATGATTTTATTAAAAATAATTCCAATTTTTTAACTAATAATTTCATATTCAAATTAACCAAATTATTACAATATAAAAACCTAAAGATCTGAAAAGATCTGCATCTAATATTAATAAAATAAAAAATTGAATCTTGTCTTACGTGCATGTCCTTTCGGTAAACAGCAAACTACATTATTCGTAATTATGATAATGTTGTCGTTGACCATATGTTATTCTACCATGAGAATTATTGGGTTCTTTTTCAGAAAATTGATTAAAATAGTTGCATTGGATCATTGTATATCCATGTTAGAGTTCATGCAGGGATTTACTCCGAAATTACGTAAATGGCAATTTGTAACCTTTTGTAACCCAATTTTCTATTTAAAATAATGAGAAGATATAGGCATTAAGCAAGTTGCTTACGTGCTACTTGTGTAGTGTTGACGTAGACCTCCATTGTTCACTTACATAATATGCATTTGTCTTTATTTTTTATCTGAAAAGTGGATTACGTAAATTATGTAATGCATTCGTTAATGGATTCAAAAGGTGGCTCTAAACTAAGGTTTGATTGGTCATTTTAGTTAATGTTCCTTGATTTTGTTTGGAAGACAAAAAAATACATAGTAGGAATGGTAATTTTATGTCAAATCAAACCAACCAATCAACGTGTGTATCACTTTGTCAATTAAATTGATATGAATTACATTTGGGTTGGTAGTATCGTATTAAATATACAAACTTAATTGGTATATGATATTAGAAGTCACATACACCATGATAGTACCATGATTGCTACTTGGTACATTATTTACTAGTTTTTTTTTTAATACCTTTTTATGTATTGAATATTAAACACTATAAAACCAATATCAACTAAAAAAAATCGGTACACAGTACAATTGATTGGTATATGATACAGGTTTTTACATACCAATTATAGTTGGTTCGTACACATTATTGGATGAAGAAAAACATTGTACCATACTAAGTCTCCCCCAAAAATTATTACTTCAAAGTTGTTATGTTGCATACTAATTGATAAGCTAGGCATTGAGCGATAACAATTAAATTTTTGCTAATTAATAAGCCAGTTGTTAAATAATAAGATACGTAAATAAACTAATCAAATTGGATAAATTTTTTAAAATAAGATAGATAACAACGTAATAACCAATAAAGACATTATAAAATCAGCCCATTCTAATATAACATAACATGCGTAATTTGAAGAAAAAGTAAAAAAAAAAATAAACCAAAGCTTATTGGAAAAAAAACAATCTTAAGCCTCACCGATCAAAGTTTTTTAAAGAATCTTAAAAATAAGTTAACTTATGATTCAAAAAAGAAAACCCCGGTTCCGTCGGGACAACCAAAAGGTCTACCTAGTTGTTAACGTCAGAACTCATGGAATCAAGCGAGATATACATAAACCGGTTCGAACATCAACCATAAAATTATTTAAACTTTACATGTACAGTGAATCATAAAACAATAAAGTCTTGGAACAAGATTTACATTTATTTGCAAATTAAATTATGAAATGCAATTCCCATTTCTAGTAGTAGGGGTCACTGCACATACACACCAATTGCAAACACCCCAAATCAACCTAACCATTAATTAAGAAGCTAAACAAGACCTTTTCTGATGTCACTTTTGTACTTGTACATTTTGCTCCACCTCAAGATTTGGCACTGAAAGTAACAAAAATCCGTTATCCTAAAATTCCATTCACCCCAATTTCATGTTATGTGTTTTTTTGTGATTGATATAGACAGACAGAAATGAGATGGAAAGATTTTGGGAAGAATGGTTTTTATTGTTGAGAAACAAAGGAGGAAAAGAAAGGATCCAATCAATCCCTTGAAAGCTTTTGCATGGTGTTTTAGTACCTTTATCCAGATCTACGGCCCACAATCGACAAGAAAGCTTTCTTCATGATCACAACCGTATACGAACCACCATTATTGTTGCTACTGCTCTTGTTGTTATTCATCCCAAAGCACATGACTGAATCTGGAGATCCACCACCGTACATGTGTCCATCATCGAAGGAAGAACCACAGCTTGTGAAACGGCGTCGCCTTGACCTGTAACCCTTGGAAGATGTAGCACTGCTGCTTAATGAAGATGACCATGAAGAAGATGAGAGAGACGAGGGGGAGGATGATGCCATGTGTCCTTTCTTGATGAGATTGATGTTCAACAGAAGATTGTAGAGGAGGTTGGATCTTGGGTAGTATCTTCTTTTTGTTGGTTTGTGATCATGGTCATGGTGGTTTGAGGTGTAGTAGGAAGGAGGAGGGGTGAGTGGAGGGACTGAATTGTCAGAAAAATTGTGTTTTGGGGTACCAGGTTGAATTTCCCATGTAAAAGGGACTGCACCGGAAACATTTCCATAGTAGACTCTGAACGAAGGGTTTGTCTCCTTGGAGAGAAGCCTGGAGAAGAATTTGTCATCTTGCTTGATCTTCAGGGACTTGTGTGAAAATTCAGGGCTACTACTGCTCAGCATCTTTCGGTTTCAATGAAGAAGATGTTGATGATTATATGTGAGAGAGAGAGAGAGAGAGAGAGAGTGTGTGTGTGTAGGTTGGAGGTTGGAGGTTGAAGCACACATTCATTCAAAGTCAAGTTATATATAAAAAGTAATATATATCTATATATATGCATACATATATATACACATATGAGTCAAATCAAATGGAAAACCATAAATAAAATACAAATCCGTGAAAATTGATAGAAAAATAATTTTTTCATGATATTTTTTTATTGAATGTCAAGATTTAAAATATTGTTTTCCATATACTTGTTTTATAATATAATATTTTTATATGTATTTCTTCACCACATGAATATTTTTTATGTGTATTTTTCAACCAAAATTTCCTTTTCACAAAGTGAACTCAAACTTTTGTGAAACAATATTTTTAATCATAGGTTTTGATGAAAAAAATTCATGTAAGAAAATATTTTTATAGCGGTTCTCATGTGTTTGTAACATATTTGTGGTTCTCATTTGATTATCATATATAAATATATATATATATATAGGCGAATGATCGTGGGAGAAAAATATATAAGATAAGAAGCTTAAAAATAGATTTGAACCATTGATCACTTTTAATTCATACCGACCCATGAATTACATTTTAGAAGAGAATTGATGTGGTTCATCTTGATGCACACCTCATTAGTATTGACATTGAATTAGGGTTAATCCAAGGGTGAAAATCTCTTCTTATGCTTATGAAAATCACCCTCATTTGTACAAACCGTACAAACCACCTCATACGTCGATTTTATTGTTTAATCTTATGAAATTTTTTTCATGAAATTATTTAATCTTGTGAAATTGTTTCATATAATACTTTTTTTGATGAATTTGTTTCATATATGATTATGAAATTGTTTCATATAATATTTAATGAAACTGTTTCATGTATTTCTCTAAAATTAAAATAATGAAGATGATAATATCCATGATTAACACCCTCCACAATAAAAATGGTTAATCAACCTCTCATAATTACAAAAAATGAACAAAATGAAAAATTATGATTGGTTGAATGAGGTTTGCACGGTTTGTACAAATTGGGTGATTTTTATTTGAACGCTCCCCTATATATATATATATATATATATATATATATATATATATATATATATATATATATATATATATATATATAGGGGTGGTTTACTTTGCAAACCAATTAAGTCAATTGTAAAAACCATGCAAACCTCGTTCAACCAATCATAACTTTTCCTTTTTTACACTTTTTTATAATTATGAGAGGTTGATTAGTTATTTTTTTATTTTGGAAGGCATTAATCATAGACAATATCACTTAATTATATTAATTTTAGAGAAACAATGAAACAGATTCATTAAAACATAGAAACAACGTATATGAAGCACTAATCTAATGTGATTGTGTCATAACAATCCCTTTATTAACCCGTTTAATCCTTATTCCAGGAATTACTTCAGCCTCTTCCACGTCCTTCATTAAAAACTTAGATGACAATAATTTCTTAATTTCATATACTTGATTTTGGTTAGTCCCAAAAATCAGCATGTCATCTATATACAAACAAATGATCGCTCATACACCATTAGCATCAAATATGCTATAAACACATTTGTCACATTGGTTTATAGCAAAACCACATGACAAAATAACTTCATCAAAGTTTTGATGTCATTATTTAGGAGCTTGTTTCAGCCTACAAAGATTTCACAAGTTTACACATTTTATCCTCATTTTCGGGTATAACAAAACCTTCTGCCAGTTTTATGTAAACTTCCTCATGAAGGTCACCATTCAAAAAGTCTGTTTTAATATCCATTTGATGAATATTCAAATTATGTATAGCCGTTATGGTAACCAATAATCTAATAGTAAAACTACGTGCTACCAAAGCATATATATCAAAATAGTCAATTTCGGGTTTTTGCCTAAACCCTTGAATGATTAAACAAGCCTTGAAGTTATTAATTGTCCCATCAACTTCAATTTTCCTTTTAAAAGTCCATTTGCTTCCAATCAGTTTAGAACCTCGTGGAAAATCAGATAACACCCAAGTGTTAATCTCAAGTATTGATGACATTTCATCATCAATTGCTTCTTTCCAAAAGGCGACATCCCGAGACTCCATAGTTTTTGGTCCCGTAAGGGTCTACAAGAATAGAAACAGTTTGTAGAAGGGGGGGGGTGAAGAATACGAACACAGTATTTTCAAATTTAAAATATATATTGATAGAGAAGATCAATACATATTTTACAAAACTGTTTGCGGAAAGATAAGGTAATGAAAAACCTATCTAAACAATCTTTGGTTACACACAGATCTTTAGCAAATACAAGAAAAGAGATTGCTAAAAGGAAGATCATTTACTTAAGCTAGAAGATGCTTGAAGTAAGAATATGGTTAGAGAGAGATGCACACTCTCTACATGGAGAAGAAACACTTCTATTTATACCCAGTGCATTAAAAGAACATTTAATGCAATATGGTAGGTTTAGAGTGCATGTCAAGCTTTAAGAGGAAGGTTTGTCCTTTGCTACAGTGAATAGTACAAAAGCACTATTTCTGAGCAGACATCCTTGCCTAAAGTTGGTGGACAAAGAGTCGACTAATCGGCCCCGTATCGTACTAACTTTTGCAAGGGTATGGGTTTGTCCTTTGTGTGCATAAGGACAAGACAACAACAATCGTGCTAAGCAAGCTTCCTTTGATCGCTGAATGCTGGAATGACTTGAAGGTCTCATCATCATTTGCTGAAGCTAGAGCAGTCTTCACAAATATGTAGACAGGCTTGTAATCACTGAATACCGCTTCAGATCACGTACTCGCTAGTCTCTAATCTTCAGTTTCAGTCTTCGACGTTCGCTGAAGGTTCTTTGGTGTGAATGTTGTCTTCTTGAAGTATTGTTGTCTCTGATGAATTTACAGTGCAAGTTCTTCAGCGATCACTGAACATACTCAGTGATGATCGCTGGAACTGAAAATACAGAAACACAAATACAACATGAAAGGAAAAATGGATTATCATCAAATCACTGAGAGAGAGGATCAACAATCTCCCCCTATTTGATGATAACAAGATAACATAAAGAAAATTATCTTATCAAATAATAGTAAGGAAAAGTTACATATAAAGTACATGTCCCTTTTTATTATTTTAGGATCTTTTTCAGTTTGGTCAGTCTCAGCTTGAGAAGTTTTCTTAAGTTATGTCTAAGAAAATACAAGGATGGAAACTGAAACTGAAACTGAAACTGAAAGCTTATTCACTAACTTATAGATTGTCAGTGAATGATGAAAGTAACATTGAAACTCATAGACTTGTGTCCCTATTACTTTTYTCAGGGATCTTTTTCAGTGAAGTACATAGAATACTCATTTTATTAATCAATGGAAATAATACAAGTATTACAGTACATGTTCAGAATTTACAGAATGTAAATACAATCAATGAAAGAAGATATAGAAAAAGGATTTACAAGGAAAAGTGGATTGTTGTTACAAAGAGAATCTTATTCTAGAACATTTAGATCTATGTAATCAGGTACATTTTCACCAAGATTTCTTCGACATAGGAATTCCCTTCGTATCTTCAGATCGACGACTTTTCCAGGCATGCTATCATCTATCCAGAGCAAGAGATACGCCAAGTGATCCATTGGACATAGATGTAGCTCTAACACTCTCTGAAATCTGACTTCACCTTCATAGTCAAGGAATATAACTTCTAACTCAGGTTTAAAATGCACAGAGTTAGGTGTATAGGGACCCTTATCTTGCAAGTCAAGATTCAGCATAGAAATGTCAGTACTCATATGACCCTTCAGGACTTCATCTAAGGAGAACCTTGTTTCATGTTCGTTCCTTAGGAATGGTCCATCATTAGGATCAGAGAGCTTTAGTTTCTTCTTCCCACCTTTCTTCAGAGTTAGCCTGTCAGGGACCTTGACATACCTGGACATCCTTTTGATGAGCTCGTTGATGGTGTCCTCGATAAGTGTCTTGTGTCTCGACTTGGATTGCTGAATGGCTTATCTGATCTCCATCCATTCGCTGTATCCATAGCGGCCAAGGTAGGAAGGGTACTCGGTAACGGCATCAAGATTGTCCCAGGTGATGAGCATTGAGACCAGAGTTCCATCGTCTTTAGATCGTCCGCTGATGCTGACGCTGATGATTGGGCGGGGACTGAGTCTCTTTTTTAGCTTTGCTTCGCTCCATTGCTTGTCCTTGTTCTGTAGCTTCTGCTTCTTCTTGCGATCAGCTTCAGCTATTGAAAGAAGTTTAACTTGGGCTTGGACAGCACTCACCGTTTTCTTGGACTTTTTTATGGGAAGGACTTTAGCAGCTAGTGACTTGGCCAGCCTTAGTTCAGTCTGCTTCTTCTGAAGCTCTAGTTCTTCTTCAGCCCTTAATGCCTCGAGTCTTTCAGCTTCAGAAAGGAAGTCAAATTCACCACCACTAGAGGTATGAAGAGGAATTTTTACTCTAGTCTGGTTGAGCGACTCCTTAAGCTGAGACATTTGCTGGTATGTTGGAGCATAAGAGCTGGGTTGATCAGATACCCACTCCAATCAACCGCAGGTTGTTGAAGGGATGTGAARTTGGTACTCTGAAGTGATCACTACCTGAGAGGTAGAGTCTTCAAATAAGGTTTGTTGAGGGCTTGCGAAAAGTACCTTCAAGTTGCCTTCTTCAACTACCGCCTTGCCTTTCGACTCGGGGTCCTGGTGCCCTGATGGAGTCGATTCGCCTTGTCTTTGATCCCCCTGGGATTGAGATTCCCCGAGGGCAACACCTTTGGTGACGGTTGATGGCTTCTGGAACTTAATGGTAAAGTCATATTCATCTCCGGTGTCTGGAATGACAGGTTCATCATCGTCTTCATCATCATCTTCTTCATCCTCATCAACATCATCATCATCACCAACAGCAGTGATGGTATGGACATCATCCCTAGGGATGGCTTCGACATCCTCAGCTGGAGCAGCTTCGGTGATCGTGATTACAGGAGCAGCAACTGCTTCAGCTTCGACAGCCTCAGCTAAAACTTGAGAGAATTGGCCAGAAAGTTCCTCCAAGCGCTGACGCTGGAGAACCATGAAATCCTCCAGCCTTTGCAAAGCATTGGCTAGAGTTGTCATTGCCTCACGCGTCTCATGGAGCTGGGCGCGATCATCGGCAGAGAAAGAGGGTGCACTCACTGGAGCTGGTTAACGGACAGCATCCAGGATTTGTTGAAGAAGTCCAATCTGTTGATCAGCAATCGCCTGAGCATCGTCAGCCTTGCTGTGAAGAACAGCAATGGAGTCGTTGTTGGCGTGAACAACTTCTTGGAGAGTCTGGAGCTGACTCTGAACTTATTGAACGTCTGCATGGAGGGCTAGGAAGTTCGCATCAGGATCGCCTTGGTGGGACATCTCTTGGTGAACTTCGTTGACCCTGGAGAGAATGATATCAATGGCTAGAAAGAGAAGTTTGATATCTGATGCTATATCATAGTCATCATCAATGTCTTCATCTCCTTCATCATCTTTCTCTCTTTCTCCCTCTTCCACTTCTTGAGCATCAGGCTGATGCATCAAAGAAGGA